CCATCCATCCATCCATCCATCCATCCCTTCATCCACCCATCCACCCATCCATCCCTTCATCCATCCATCCATCCATCCATCCCTAAATCCATCCATCCATCCACCCATCCATCCCTAAATCCATCCATCCATCCATCCATCCCTTCATCCACCCATCCATCCATCCACCCATCCATCCATCCCTAAATCCATCCATCCATCCCTCCATCCCTCCACCCATCCACCATCCATCCCTTCATCCATCCATCCATCCATCCATCCCCGGATCCATCCATCCATCTGTCCATCCATCCCCGGATCCATCCATCCGTCTGTCCATCCGTCCTCAGATCCATCCATCCGTCTGTCCATCCATCCCCGGATCCATCCATCCTTCCGTCCATGGGATCCATCATCTGTCCGTCTGTCCCCACTTTATCTGTCACTGTCCAGCGTCTGTCCAGTGTCCACTGTCTGTCCACTGTCTGTCCACTGTCTGTCCACTGTCCATCCGCTGTCCATTGTCCGTCTGTCCCTCACTCCCCCCCTCCTTTGACTGCTGCCCCTCCCCCGCAAGCAGAACTTGGGGGGACCCGGTGTCCGGAGGACACCTGTGGGTGCCGGGGGGGTCCTGGGTGTCCAGGTGTCACCTCAGGTGTCTGGGGGGTCCCAGGTGTCCAGGTGACACCTCAGGTGTCCGGGGGGTGTCCAGGTGACAGCCCGGGTGTCTGGGGGTGTCCAGGTGTCACCTCAGGTGTCCGAGGGGTGTCCAGGTGACAGCCCGGGTGTCTGGGGGTGTCCAGGTGACACCTCAGGTGTCCAGGGGGTCCCAGGTGACACCTCAGGTGTCCGGGGGGTGTCCAGGTGACACCCCAGGTGTCTGGGGGTGTTCAGGTGTCCAGGTGTCACCTCAGGTGTCCGGGGGGTCCCAGGTGACAGCCCGGGTGTCCGGGGGTGTCCGTGCTCAGGGACCCCCGTGTGACACCGGGGGGAGGGTCCTCCCAGGAGGCCCCGGCGGCAGCGAAGGTGGGACAGCCAATCCTGGGGGACCCCAGAGCCGGGGGGGTCCTCCCTGTCCGTCCGTGTGTCCGTCCGTGTGTCTGTCCGTGTGTCCGTGTGTCTGCCCGTGAGTCCGTGTGTCTGTCCGTGTGTCCATCCGTGTGTCCGTGTGTCCGTCCGTGTGTCCATCCGTGTGTCCGTGTGTCTGTCTCTGTGTCCGTCCGTCCAGGGGGGTGGGCGGGGGCGGGGCTTGCTCGGAGCCCCCCGGGCACACGCGTGTGCAGAGCGGGCGGGGGCGCGTGGGGCGGGAACACGTGTGAGCAGGTGTGGGGGGGGGCGGGGCCCAGGGGGGGGGGGGGGGGGGCGTGTGGGAGGGGGGGCTGCGTTTGTGGGGCACACGTATGTGTGTGTGTGTGTGTGTGAGCAGTTCACGTGTGTGTGTGAGCAGTTCACGTGTGTGCACAGGTATGTGCATGAGCAGCTCTGGTGCACACGTGTGTGCACTGCCGGTGCCTTCCTGTGTGCACGTGTGTGTGAGCCTGTGTTTGCACGTGTGTGTGTGAGTCAGTGTGTGCACACACGTGTGTGTGAGCCTGTGTTTGCACATGTGTGTGCACATGTGTACACGTGTGTGCGGGTGTGAGCAGCTCCTGTTCAGGTGTGTGTGCACATGTGTGTGTGTGTCACGTGTGTGTGTGTCCCGTGTGTGTGTGCACGTGTGTGTTTATCACATGTGTGTGTGCATGTCTCTGTGCACACGTGTGTGCAGCTGTGAGCAGTGCCCGCAGCCCCCCAGGCCCCCCCCGTGTGCGGGGGTCTCACCACTGCCGGGGGAGGGGGGAGCCCCGGGCCCGTGTGGCCACATCACACACGCGTGTGCAGCCACATCACACGTGTGCGCGGCCACATCACACACGCGTGTGCAGCCCTGTCAGTACATGTGGCCACGTGACACACGTGCGCAGCCGCGTCCCACGTGAGCAGCCGTGTCCCACGCGAGCAGCCCTGTCACACACGTGTGCAGCCGTGTCACACGCGTGTTCCCGGGGCCCCGGAGCCGCACCCACCTGTGCCCGGCTCACACTCCTCCAGGTCCTCGTCGTCGCTCGGACACTCGGCCGAGGCCACCAGCAGGTCGTCCGTGTTCTGGGGGGCACCGGGGGGCACCGGGGGGTCACCTGTGGGCCCGGGGACCCCCAACCTCCCCAAGATCCCCTGAGGGGCCCCGGGGTTCGGGTGTCCCCAGAGCACCCCCAGGTGATCGGGGAGTTCCCCCTCGAGCCCCCCCGGCTCCCTCCCTGTCCCCCCCCAGCCCCTCTCAGCCACCCAGACCCCCCCAGCCCCTCCCCGGGCCCCCTCCCCACCACGTCCCCCCTCTTATCCTGCCCCTGGGACCCTCCCACCCTTCCTACTCTCCCCTCCCTCTCACATTTACCCTCCCGAGCCCCCCCCGGCCCCCACATTCCCCCCAGGTCCCCCCCCGGGTCCCCCCCGGGTACCTGAGCGACGGTGTCGCGCAGGGTGGGCGAGCGCCCGCGGCGGGTGGTGGTCGTGGCCATGGTGGTCGTGGTCTCCATGATGGTGGTGGCCATGTCGGGGGGCGCGGGGGTGGCGCCGGGGGGGGCGGGGGGCGGCGGGGGGTCCCCCACGAGCCGCAGGTCCCCCTCGAGGCGCACGCGGGGGTGGCCCTCGGCCGCCAGCGCCAGCAGCTTCAGCCCGTTGTAGTAGAGCCCCGAGAGCTGCCCCTGGAAGGGGCGGCCGCGGTCCCGGCCCCCCACCCGGACACGCGCCTGGCTGTTGAAGATGGTCAGCTGGCGCCCTGGGGGGAGAGGGGGGGCTCGCACGCCTGGCACACCTGGCACACCTGGTACACCTGGCACACCTGGTACACCTGGCACAGCTGGCACAGCTGGCACAGCTGGCACAGCTGGTACACCTGGCACACCTGGCACACCCGGCACACCTGGCACAGCTGGTACACCTGGCACACCTGGTACACCTGGCACAGCTGGCACAGCTGGCACAGCTGGTACACCTGGCACAGCTGGCACAGCTGGTACACCTGGCACAGCTGGCAGGTCTGGCACACCTGGCAGACCCAGCACACCTGGCACACCTGGCACAGCTGGCAGACCTGGTAGAGCTGGCACACCTGGCACACCCGGCAGACCTGGCAGACCTGGCACACCTAGCACAGCTGGTGCCATCACCCCGTGACCCCTGTGCTGACACTGCTGACACACCTGTGTGACATCATCACCCCCCCACTGCCCCCCCC